CTGTTAAAGTCGATCGCACATGGATAATAATCATTTTTATGCGAGTTTGGAATTTCATTTATGCTTTGACATAATTTAATATATCAATTTTTAATAGAATTAAGGAATTTGGTATTAAGGAATTTTTACTAGGATTAAGAAAGTCATTTTCAGGATATATTTTCTACTTACAATTTCATTAGCAAAAACCCTTTGATTTCATCAAGTGTAGACGCTATCGAAAGTATGTTAACACATTTCAAACGAGATTAGATTTTAAAAATCTTACGAAATGATTTGAATTTTTTTGTTTGGTTTACTGGACAATGAGCCAAAAAATTATGATTTTGCAAAAATTATTATATTATATGAGATTTATATGAAATTTTCGGCATATATGTAAGTTATCGAGATTTACAAAACGCATGGTTTACATTTCTTTTACAGGCTCAGATAAAATAATTAAAAAAAAACATCGTTGCAAACTATTGTAATTTTTGCAAGATATTTGTTACTCATTGCATATCAAACTAATCAGTCTAACGTCTTAAGAAAATTCAAGACTTTTGGTTCAATTTAAAAATTGTTATTCCGTTTTAGGAGTTGTCAACAGACTTTCAAGTGGTCACAGAAACATGACAGCTTGTGTAACACGTCCGTTCCGATTTCTTTACAGGATTGTAAAATCGTAATTAACACGAATGTTCAGGCAGAATAAAATAAACAAGCAACACACAAAGCTCAAATCCGTTTCACGTATCACCTGACAAAAAGTTTGTGAATGCAAAGATACGAATACATCCATTATTCGGATACCACCACGAGCTGCACTAATAGTTCAGGTAGTGATAATGGGATTCGATTGTAGAACATATTTCATACGGCGTATTGATCGAACGCGTAACCCAGATACCGAGTGAAAAACGCAGAAACTTTCTCATGGTTCGATTAAGCAAAAAGGGAGAGAGAGAGAGAGAAAGGGAGAGGAATAAAAAGGCGAAATGTTTAATTAACCGTCGTCACTATGACAGTCCAATTGTGAATTCGCGAGACCTTTAATTAATGAGGGAAGTGTCCTCGATAATATAAAGTCTGTGCGGTTCGTTTCCATCCTAATCAAATGAATTATCTCAGCGTGCTATAGTCCGTCACTGGTTTTCTTCGAGCGTGAGTGAAGTCCTCGGCGAACGCAGACATCTGTTCGCTCGTTTTCTAAATATTTTCGACATCGTTGAAACATGAGGTACATCGATGCATCGGAACATCGTTTCCGCAATCACGAGATATCGAATGTACTATCTAAAGCTTGTACAAAAATGTTTGGTTCGCAAAAAATATGCTGCCGTGAATTCGAAGGTTCAAAAATACAGACTTCTAGGGAAATGTCAGCTTTTAACCTTTACAGGACCATAAGGTTGCTACAAGTAAATATTAGTACGTAATTGTTTATTTCAGTTTGTTTCGACGTAAAATAAACAAAAATCATAAGAAAAATACATAACAATTTGTTCGGAATTTTATGGAAAATATTTTTCCGAATGGACTATAAAGGTAACACAAATTATGGTTTGCACAATTTCTTATTTCTCTATGATTGTTGTAGTTCGACATAAGCGATCGGAAATAAAACGCGAATTGTTTTCAAAGATGCAGTTTCAATCTAGTTCGCACAAGTGACAATATTAAACTGACGTGGTACACACAAATGAGTTGGGTTAAGATCATAGTGGCGTAAGTTAAATTTTCCTCATTGCGAGAAACAAAAAGTGTTATTGTTTATTAAAATATATAAATACGTAAAAATAATATAAATTAACTTAATTCTAAATTATCTTAACAATAAATTTGGATAATTTATTATTATTTTGACATATGTTTTAAAATGTAATCTGTACACGCCTAAATGTTAAAAAGGACAAGTTTAAATAAAATAAAATGGATAATTTATTATCCAAATTTATTGTTAAGATAATTTCGAATTAAGTTAATTTATAGTATCTTTTATAGCATCTATCTCTATTTATAGTATCTCTATCTTTTATTTAATCTTGTCCTTTTTAACATTTAGGCGTGTACAGATTACATTTTAAAACATATGTCAAAATTTTCGAAAATGTGACTTACGCCACTATGATTCTCGAGCCGCTCGATTATTGAAATACTTCTAGTACAAGAAATCTTCTCTGCAACGCTACGCGCAAAGAAACTATTTTTATGATAGAGTTCTTCACATCAAACAACTTTCGTCCAATATCGTTTCTATTGAACGGTTTATGATGTTCCAGGACACTGTAAGCGTCATACGTATTCATCGATCTTGTGTGAACGCTATCTATTCGAGATCGGCGCGAACTTTTCGTACAAGCCGATGTTTTGTCCGGTAAATCGATCCGGGTCGCGGGTCGCGTAGCAATAAGACCGGCAACTTTCTCGCGGCTCGGCGTGACTGTTCGAAAAAAAATTCTAATTAAGCCCCGTCAACATCACGAACTGATTACACGGCGAGCTGTTAATTAATAGTCACCGGTATCGCCGTAGGGATGAATAATGTAATACTTACGAACCGTTAGCGTGTTAATCAGCGGACCGTCCGTGTGCAACGGCCCGATACGAAGGCATTACATGTTTACACAAGCTTGGAAGATGACAGTATTTGATGAGTTACTCCCCTGCCCATGACAAGACTGCGAGGTGTAATCACGGTGCCGGGAGGGAACCTGTCGGTCCAAATAACGTCGGATGTTAATTTTAACCGAAGTACATAAATCGATCGACGCCGTCGATGCGCCGCAAAGTATCTATATTCGTTTGTTAATGGATGCTGCATCTAATGAACGATGATCTGGATGTTATTAAACGAGATTAGACTACTATTCGCGCATGTCTACTGTCCGAAATCATTCTCTATTTTGAAACGATGCGTGTCACATCTGAAGTGTTCTAATTATTCTAGCTCCGATTTTAATAATTAAATGATATTTCTTTTCTGACAACGTACCACTATCTACATGATAGCGTAAATGATGTCTTGTCACATCGATATATCCATTTACGATTCACAATTAAGTGGCGAAATTCTGTATTTTCGTACATAACACGCGCACGCGCGGACAACTGTCCTGGATTATTGCTCGATTCTAATATTAAACTATGGATTGTGAGATTCGTTATTTTTTAATACGTTAAGCGCCACGTAAATCTATCGCTATACTTTCCATTCGGACGATACGGAGGTCACAAGAAAATGTATCTAAATATTACTTGTTACCGAAAAAGATTTTAAAAAGTATTATTACGACACGGTATCCGCAGGTTTCACAGAATGTTATAAAGCGAGCTAAACGAAAAGGCAGGCAAAACAGGCTTGGTCGGCTATGCGTATTCTTATGCATAAATAGATAATTAAATTGCAAAACAGAATAAATAACAATAGAATTAATTCTTAGTAAAAAAAAGGAACTATACTTTCTACGAACAACAGACAAAATAATTCACTAGCATGTCGAAAGAAAAATGTCTACAGAATTTTAAACATGTACTTTAGTTCTAACAATGTTCTTTTATAAATCGTTTATCTTTTATTTGCACGAGTACTTAAATGTATTATATTTAACAATATTGTATAGCTAAATACATCTCGAGCGTAGAAAATAATATTTATAGCCCTTTTTCTTACATGGATACAGAATAGCACTCACCTAAGCCGACTTTAAACCTAGGATCATCCTAGGATTAATAGTAATATTAAAAATCATAAAGAACATTTTACATTTCGATGGATGTTACTATGATGGTAACTATATGTGTTTTTACGCTTAACATTTTACGTAAACATTTGATCCTCAGTTATGCGATCTCCAGCCTGGATTATCCAAACGAGTGGAAACATGAAGGGAGGTTTAACTCGTGAACCTCTATTATCGGAATACCTCGTTTATCCGAACTGTCTTGTCCCCGGATTTGTTCGGATAAACGAGGTTCTACTTGAAGTGCAGATATTTCCAGAAACCGAGATTCGTAGGACTTATTTCATGCCCCTTTAATATTGAGGAACTTTAGCGCAATCTTCGATCGGCAATTTCATATGCACGAACCCAATATGTTACGTTTACCTTCGAGCACGACGAATCAATACAACGATTCAGGTCGCGAGAAATATATTTCCGTATCCCGGCTTCGTTCCGAGCGCGAAGCATGGGAAACAGTGCTTAAAAAACCGATGATTGTTAATAACCATCGCAGCAGCAATTCGACCGTTGAGTATCGTTCGCACGTTGCCAGCCGGCGAGATAAAAACCGCGAACAAACAACGCCGGATAAATCGAGTTCCAACCGCGATTAATAGATTATCGACGTGACGATCGTACAAATCCCTCTGTTTACGTTTTAAAAACGATCGTCGCGGTTGCTTCCGGTCGGCCAAGATCGGTCCGCTATTACCGAGTGCAATCAAAGGCGAGGGAAAGAGAGCACCGGGAAGGAATAAGGAACGGAACCGGGCCCGAATACAGAGGAGACAGTGCTTGAATCTTCAAGTAACCAACACGATCACGGTAAGTCGCATTTCGGAGACGAAGTGGCCGGGCGTTGGCATGAATATGAATGAGCTCTCCGGCTGATATTCCGAAGCACGAAATAAAATAATTTCCTTTTCTGTCGCGTTCCGTTTTTATTTTTTCACCGGCGGACTGCGCGAGATAAATCGGACACAATGGAGGGAAACGGATGAAAACCGTGAAATATGAGTAAACGATTTCCAACCTCCGACGGATTTCTTGTTTCTGATAATTGGATATTTTAATGGCACCGGCATTTATCACGGACGGTGGAAGCTTTTAGCCATCATAATGCACGGAACGCAAATTTTGATTAATCGACTTTATTACCGCGAAACGCAGCGTGCACTCCTTTAGCCGGTCACTAAAAAATACCGTCGCTCGAAAAACTTTTCGTTCGACCTTTGTAATAAAATGACCTTTCTAAAATTGGTTCGAACGGTAACCTTTCACACACAGCTCTGCTGAACTTTAAAGTCATATTTTAATATAACTTCAGTTTTGGTTACAATGTGGTAAAAGTATTTCGTTCTGTTGTTTCTCTTTTAATTCGTACATCAGAGTAAATTCAATTTGATTAAAAATTATAAATTCTCATTGCCCGTTTATATCTGCAGGTTTGATAGGCAGTAATTTTAAGTTAAATGAATTATTTTGAATTGTTTTCAATTACTTTTCCCATGTTAACAATTCAGGATATGGAGCAATCGCTGGACAGCTGATTTCATGTGTTCACAATAAAAATTGCTACATGAAGGTATTAAACAATGAAGGTATTAAATAAATTTAGGGTCACCTATGCATTAGTTTCAACTCATTGAAATTAATGAAGGAAGAAAGAAATTTCTATTTGACCGATGTTTGTTACAATCGATAGAGGTCAGTTAAAAAAAATAAATTTTTCCTAAAGATTTTCAGTCTAGTAACGACCTTTCCAGATGTTAGAAAAACTCATTTACTAGCCGATCTAATCAGATTTCATTTCGTGGAGCGGTTTTTCTTTGGAATTTCCATTATCAGAGCGTCACGAAAGAAGCTTCATGCATTCGACTTACTTAGGACCGTCATGAAAGCGTATTCATCGAAGATTAATATTCATAGGGTCGAAATGATATTTCCCTTGGACCGACGCGAGCCGACCAACAACTGTCGGATTGATTAAATTCAATTTATGGAAACGGGTTAATAATAAGCAAGGTTCGACGTATGAAAAATAAATCGCAGCTCGCACTGTTTTAAATACCAGCAGCCCATGAAAATTTGAATCGATGAATATTAAATGGGGTGATCCGCCGCGAGGAGTAATGTACATCATTTATTCAACGCGTGGAAGAATCTGTGGCAGACGGACCGTATAGCGTAGAATTCGTGGGAATGACAGACGGCAGTCGGCGCAGCGGCAGCGGCAGCGGCAGCGAGTGGTGAATAGTTAGTAAACGTTAAGTAGAGAGTGGTGTATCAGCGCGTGGAGTACGTATGTACGTATCGGGTTCTATGTTTCCAATCTCACGGGCTCTATCCCTCAATCTCCCTGGATATCACATTTAAATGGCTCTTATTTATCCGATGGCTAAAGTGGCAAGTCCTGTTACTGCTGCGGTGAAGAACACACCATTGTCGTTTCCTTTAACTTCACTCGAAAGCGTCACTTCCTGCCGCCGTTATTCACTGTTCGTTCCTGCCATTGATCTTCCGTTCCCTCTTTCCCGTTCCGTTTGCAAATCGGTTGCAGAACGAAGGGAACCTGAACCAGACGTATAGGTGAAGTAATTACACCGGAATTTACTGCCATTTTAATCGCTTCTTTTATCGTACGCTGCGGTAAACAAAATTCTTCCCTTAATCGCTTTATTCTGATATGCTCGTATCTGACAAAAGCGCACCAAATTGGCGAAGAACAATTACAAAACGTACGAACTTCGTTATATTCGAAACAAGAGTTGCAATCTTCAAGCACCACTTGAAATTACGGTACCATAATTAAAACAATTTTTGTAGTATTTTATATTATAATATATTTATATATATTTTTTAATACATATGTATACGGCGTAAGATAATTTTGATTATACGCAAATATATATAAACATATTATGGTATAAAATACTATAATATATTTATATATATTTTTTAATACATATGTATACGGCGTAAGATAATTTTGATTATACGCAAAAATTGTTTTAATTATGGTACCGTAATTTCAAGNAAAAATATATATAAATATATTATAGTATTTTATACCATAATATGTTTATATATATTTGCGTATAATCAAAATTATCTTACGCCGTATACATATGTATTAAAAAATATATATAAATATATTATAATATAAAATACTACAAAAATTGTTTTAATTATGGTACCGTAATTTCAAGTGGTGCTTGAAGATTGCAACTCTTGTTTCGAATATAACGAAGTTCGTACTTTTTGTAATTGTTCTTCGCCAATTCGGTGCGCTTTTGTCAGATACGAGCATCAGAGGGAGGGAAGAATTTTGTTTACCGCAGCGTACGATAAAAGAAGCGATTAAAATGGCAGTAAATTCCGGTGTAATTACTTCACCTATACGTCTGGTTCAGGTTCCCTTCNATATATATATATATATATATATATATATATATATATATATATATAAAATTATACTATATTATTTTATTATTATTACTATATATTATTATAAATTTATACTATATCATTTTATAATATATATATAGTATAAAATAATATAGTATAAATTTAAAAAAATTATAAACAGAAAAATATGATAAATATATATATATAATATATATGCATAGAATTGCTTTATATTAATGTGAAGACTAGATTTATTCAGATTTCGTACGATTTCCATTTTAATACGTGATTGAATAAAAAAAGTTTATTAGAAAAGTTATGAAAATATTCTTAAAATTTCAATCGTTTTAAAAGGGAAAATCAAGAACTTCTTATTTTGAAAGTTATTCAAGATCATTTTCACTTTTGTCGGCCATCGCGCTGAAATTAATACCATTACGAGTGATAAGTAAAAATAGTAACAAGACAAAGTAATTTTTCATCGGACAAGTAGAATAGGAACGATGTGATTAGGCGACGTGATAGTGATTCATAGTCAGACATGTAGACGAGATATATGGTAGGATAAATGGTAATACGAGTAGTATAGGTATACCATATAGTCGGAAAAGTGATGTAGTCAGGATATCTTCTCATCTTTTACGATGGAACAAATTAAAACGACATATGCCTAGTCAAGTAGAATTAGCAGTATATATGGTCAATCAAGTAGAATTCGTAGCATCTATGATTAATTAAGTAAGCAATTAAGAAATTAAGTTAACACTACCTACGACCCATGAAACATTGTAGAATTAATACAAACAACGATCAGGAAAAGATAGTAGTCATAAAAGTGATCACAATTACTTCCGTAAGCAGCTCTTTTAAATAAAAGCAGCTCTCTTAAATTTTCGTGCTCTTATGGGGGACTTACATTTAATTTCCTTTTACAAATCAGAATCATCAGTCGTCAAATAAATATACAGAGCGTCATGTATCTGGTGACATAACCGGAAATTAAATCATTGAGACGTTATGAACAAATTCACGGTAAACAATTTGTCTTCACATTTACCTGTATATAAACAATTATTGTTGAAAAATGGCAAATGAAATTGTTAAACCAAAACAAGTGATGTAACTATTACCAATAATAGATATTATATATGTAATAAATTAAAAGAATTTCATGAAAATCTGTTCCCGGATTATCAAAATCTAATCTTCGAAAATTATAACTTCATATTAAGATACTATCGTACTAAAATCGTTGGAATAATTGGTAGTATGTCATCAAACAGTTTTTTCTGAAGGTCATATTTTACGAAATTTCAAGAACATCATTACTTTTGTATTTTATTATACTGTATTATAAAGGTCATCTGAATGTCATCATTTTATAAATTGTTGAATTCGTTTTTCCATCAGCTAAATATGATCTTTAAATTTCGTAAGTTGTAACCCTGCGGGAAAAATTTCCATTGCATCGAATAGGACGTTATTTTCATTATACATTTCCTCATAGCATTAAAAACAATGAATATATTTTAGTTGAAAATATATTCAATGACTCGGTCTGTACAATTTTGTATCTAGTGGAACCAATGGAATTATTTATTGAATATTCTTAGCGTTAAATGAACGATATACATACTAGATGTGCAGTTCTCTTCAATTATTCCCAAAGCTCGTGAAACTACATTCCAGGGGAAAATGCGTGGTAATAAAATGCTATCGTACCAAAAATATATAACCGTTCCTCGGCAAGGCGTCTGCGACGTCAACCCTTTGGTGGCGCTGGTCTACCGGGACAGGAAGCTGATATACACAACAAAACAGGCTCGTTGGTGAGTCGCAGGCTGCCTCCGGAGCGCTTTTAGAAATAATGAAGACCGCTTGTCTTTCTTCCACTTTGTTCTCTCCTTCTCCTATTTTCTTTTTATCTGGTCCTCCTCGCCTCGTTGGGCTTTCATTTATTGCCTGATTTATCACTGTCCCTCCTCCGCCACGAATATATTTTATCTCCGTCGAATTTGATCCTGAATTACGGTGCGGCATGAATAGTCGAGGCTTCGGTTTCCGTGGAGGGGCTGGTTTCCTGCGAAATTTATGCAAAGACCCATAAACATGCGACGCTGTCACAAAAATTATTGATCCGCAATTAAAATCTCGTCTCCTTTTACCAAGCCGAGTTCCTCTGATATGAAATACCTTTCTCCCTTCTGTTTGCATATTATACCTGCTAGAAATGTCTTTATAAAATGAAACGAATAAACAAGTTAGCAACATCCCTATTAACAAGAAATATACGATACGTCGCGTGCCTCATACAAAATCGATAAAACTTAATACTTCTATTAAATTAACATTTTTTAATTCACTAAACGTTCCTTTACATTCTGAAAAAAATCAAGCTAGAAATTGTTCAATATTTGTCGCGATCAATAAAATATTGCATAACGTTTTATATCAGATGAAAACTCTGGCTTTCTTCTTAAGTGATTATTTAGAGCTACAATAGAGAATAATCTCTTTTCACTGTTTAATGAAACGAAACGAACTTTAATTTGTGCCGCAAACAGTCTCAAATATCTCAAGTACCGAAATAAAGTTGTTTAAGTTAATTCTGCCAATTTCGTTAGTTTTAACGGTTTTCTTGATTAAATCATATTTATACTTTCAACGACTCTTTGCAAAAGACATTTATTATACTATATATTGTTTCAATGTTTTTATACGGTCAACCTCTTCGATCTTTAAATGGGAGAACGTAAATATATTGACAAAAATGTTAGAAAGTAATTCTGAAAGAAGCTTTGCGGTTGAGACTATTTCAACTCCAAAATGAAGACCTTCTTTTCAACCTACAGTATTTCCATTTGGTACGATTGTTTTTATTTGATACATATGAAATCGACCGCGTATGCTTACAGAAGACTTGTATTATTTGACAATTTTTTCGAATACAGACAAATTCGATAATGTGAGCATTCTCTTGAAAATAGTGTAGCAATTTTTCGCGTCACCTCGGAGTCGCCACTCGACTGCAATGGATTAATGCACATTTAGGGCCATCAATTAATTAAATGAAAATGGTAGATCGAAAGCCTACTCCACGCGCTTATACATGAAACTGTACCACAATCAAGATTTCTTTTAGGGTAAAAAGTGACATCCCATGAATTGTGTATAATTCATACATTATACTCTTGAATTATAAGTTGGACAAAGACCAAGTATTAATGCATCGATGCTAACAAGAAAACTTGTACTCTCGACAGGAGTTCTGGAAAATAGCTCGGTAAACAGCGATCGAGTCAATCAGGTGAACGCTGTAAGTTTTCGTTGAAAGGACACGTATCAGAATTTGGCACGCAGTCGTTCAACCGGAAATACGTTGAGCCGGTAACTTCTAGCGTCAAGAGACGTTTATTGTTGTACAGGAGCACAAAGCGGCGAATGAAAAAAGAGCACTGGACTCTCATAAGTCTTCGTACGCTTTTTCCGGAGTACGCCACTCACGCGTAGGACGGCCGCAGCTTGTTAAAATTCCGGCCTGATTTCGAAGCGGTAGCCAGCACGGTAGAGGGAGTAACTCGGAAGAAACGCTGCCAGCTCCCCGGATAATCTCGCGGCACGGATTATTGAGCACGTTCGGTACAAGTTCTTTTCCGTTTGCCCGGATAAACCAATAAACTCTAACTTCATTTAAGGTAAACCCTTACGAGCTTCATGCCAGTGCTATTCGACTTCGGTGATTTTCCTCGTTCGGAAATCTCGTTCCGGCCGGTGTACGAGCCGATTAAAACTTTCTCCCGCACAAAGGTCTTCTGTATCCATATTTCTGGCGACCGCAAACGTGATCGATAATTAGGTACTTGCGATTGAATTCTATGGAGACGAGAGCACCCGTTCGCTGGTCGTATATTAAACTCGCGACTGGTTCAATTATGCAGCATATCTTGTTTGAATTACCGCAAGCTTGAATGGAACTGATCAAATTTTCAATCGGTTCTGATGTAACAGTTATTTTTTAACTTTTAACTATACTAAGGGAATAAAATGTACCTTTTTCATTTTCATTAATGGCAAAGACGAGGAAGTTGTATAAAACGACCTTCAGTGATATTCCTTGCACTTTCGATTAACCCCTTAATGCACAATTTAAAAAAAAAACCGACCAAAAAAAATCAATTTTTTTTATCTAAGAAAATACATATTTGGACCTTAATTTCAATAAATATGTAAAAGAAATGCAAAAATTACTAAAAATTCAATAAAAATAGTGGATAAATAATTATAGTGAATATTGAATCGCATTGCAGATCGAATTTTGTACCCATCGTACTGTTTTTCGATTAATATAGGTAACATAACATAAGTTGCGACGCCGACCGTATATATACGGGTCTGCACATTTTGGCCGGNGATTAAATCATATTTATACTTTCAACGACTCTTTGCAAAAGACATTTATTATACTATATATTGTTTCAATGTTTTTATACGGTCAACCTCTTCGATCTTTAAATGGGAGAACGTAAATATATTGACAAAAATGTTAGAAAGTAATTCTGAAAGAAGCTTTGCGGTTGAGACTATTTCAACTCCAAAATGAAGACCTTCTTTTCAACCTACAGTATTTCCATTTGGTACGATTGTTTTTATTTGATACATATGAAATCGACCGCGTATGCTTACAGAAGACTTGTATTATTTGACAATTTTTTCGAATACAGACAAATTCGATAATGTGAGCATTCTCTTGAAAATAGTGTAGCAATTTTTCGCGTCACCTCGGAGTCGCCACTCGACTGCAATGGATTAATGCACATTTAGGGCCATCAATTAATTAAATGAAAATGGTAGATCGAAAGCCTACTCCACGCGCTTATACATGAAACTGTACCACAATCAAGATTTCTTTTAGGGTAAAAAGTGACATCCCATGAATTGTGTATAATTCATACATTATACTCTTGAATTATAAGTTGGACAAAGACCAAGTATTAATGCATCGATGCTAACAAGAAAACTTGTACTCTCGACAGGAGTTCTGGAAAATAGCTCGGTAAACAGCGATCGAGTCAATCAGGTGAACGCTGTAAGTTTTCGTTGAAAGGACACGTATCAGAATTTGGCACGCAGTCGTTCAACCGGAAATACGTTGAGCCGGTAACTTCTAGCGTCAAGAGACGTTTATTGTTGTACAGGAGCACAAAGCGGCGAATGAAAAAAGAGCACTGGACTCTCATAAGTCTTCGTACGCTTTTTCCGGAGTACGCCACTCACGCGTAGGACGGCCGCAGCTTGTTAAAATTCCGGCCTGATTTCGAAGCGGTAGCCAGCACGGTAGAGGGAGTAACTCGGAAGAAACGCTGCCAGCTCCCCGGATAATCTCGCGGCACGGATTATTGAGCACGTTCGGTACAAGTTCTTTTCCGTTTGCCCGGATAAACCAATAAACTCTAACTTCATTTAAGGTAAACCCTTACGAGCTTCATGCCAGTGCTATTCGACTTCGGTGATTTTCCTCGTTCGGAAATCTCGTTCCGGCCGGTGTACGAGCCGATTAAAACTTTCTCCCGCACAAAGGTCTTCTGTATCCATATTTCTGGCGACCGCAAACGTGATCGATAATTAGGTACTTGCGATTGAATTCTATGGAGACGAGAGCACCCGTTCGCTGGTCGTATATTAAACTCGCGACTGGTTCAATTATGCAGCATATCTTGTTTGAATTACCGCAAGCTTGAATGGAACTGATCAAATTTTCAATCGGTTCTGATGTAACAGTTATTTTTTAACTTTTAACTATACTAAGGGAATAAAATGTACCTTTTTCATTTTCATTAATGGCAAAGACGAGGAAGTTGTATAAAACGACCTTCAGTGATATTCCTTGCACTTTCGATTAACCCCTTAATGCACAATTTAAAAAAAAAACCGACCAAAAAAAATCAATTTTTTTTATCTAAGAAAATACATATTTGGACCTTAATTTCAATAAATATGTAAAAGAAATGCAAAAATTACTAAAAATTCAATAAAAATAGTGGATAAATAATTATAGTGAATATTGAATCGCATTGCAGATCGAATTTTGTACCCATCGTACTGTTTTTCGATTAATATAGGTAACATAACATAAGTTGCGACGCCGACCGTATATATACGGGTCTGCACATTTTGGCCGGTTTTGCACGCCCGTGTTAATACGTTTCTGCGCGTTAAGGGGTTAATCGCAATTTTTCCAAAAATTTCTTGTACACCAGCTAATAAACTGATCGTTCGGAAACCTTGAAAAAACCGCAAGACTAACTGTAGATGTTTATGCACTGCAGGATTTTCTTTCTTATAATAAATCTATCGTGAAAATAGCACTGGTCGTTCCGGCGAGATTACGAAAAGTAAGTTTCCCGTGGATGGTACCTCCGGTGAAGTTTGTCATTTTCGTTTCGAGAATGTTCTTGACGGTCCCGTTTCAATATCGCGCGGTCTGAACCGTTTTTCGAACGTTCCGCCCGTTTTCAACTGCGAATAGAGAACTTCTTTCGGCGTTTGGTGAAACGGTGCATAGAACAATCGGCCCCCGCGTTATCTCGCTGCAAATCGCGGTTCCCTGGAATACCCGGTGAAAACGGTCGATTCGGGATGGTAACTTCTTCTCGCGCACAGTTTCCAGCAAATAGCTGTAGCGACGCTGTCCCGATTCAACCACGTGGCCCTGTAGTTCGGTTGCCGTGTGCATGGATAAAACTACTTTGCAAATTGGTTTGCAGAGTTCCATGATAAAATTTCGAGCAACTTTCGAGGAATTTACATTGATGATCGATTGACGTTTACGTTGGAACTTTCGCTCGCCTCTTCTGCTTCCTACAGAAACACTGAATTCGCGGATACAATAATCTTGTTCACGCTATTATCTTGTTATTGCGCGAAATTATTCGTGACAATAATCGTAAGTAAAAGATATGTGAAACGAAAAAGTTGTTAATAAAACGATTCGGAAATGTTATGGAGTGAAACGTGGACGATTAATGGTCGTCGAAATATTATATATGTTTCGAAAATCTTAACGAGCGTTAGGACCAATGCCATTTTTATTCCGATCAACAAGAACGCTAGTTTCATGTGGCACGATATAATAAAAATAAAGAAGGCACGTTTTAGGAGTACAAAAATTTAATAAATAAATTGGATAAAATATAAATGTTGAAGTAAGAGAAAATGTCACTTGCTTATTTCTTTTATACAGGTAGATAGATTATAATATACAGGTAGAGTCATTTATTGAGAAAAGAATATAGCAAAAAATTAGTTGTTGCCATGTACCAAACTACTTTTGTTGGAAAGATTTTTTTATACAACATGTAGTTTACCCTACATGCGAATAATCACACAACTTTAAGAAACGTGATTTTATGAATGTTTGAATAAATCATCTTTAAAATATGCTCGCGCACAAATCATCAAATAATCCATTTTTAAGATGTTCTTGATAGAACCGACGAAGTAGATACAACTCGCACGAAACTTCATTAGTGACACGGTGTACGAAAACGCGCTACGGGGAACAAACTTTTGCGCGCTAATGTAATGTAGTCTAAGAAAAAGTGACGAAGGAAAGCTTTGCCAATTAAGAGCCCCGTTTTTCCCGTTTCTTTAGCCCCGTTACCCAGCAGATGACTAACAGCCACTGTCTAGCGGGCGGTGATGCTGACAAGAAAAATAGCGCAGGCAGCACAACTTGGACGTTCATCTAACGAGAAAGCATTGAATCACCTTTTGAGCCCAGGGTTTCTTGAAAACATCGCTGCGGTTTCCAGGAACGGTTAGGATTGATGAGGTGTGCTAAGAAAATACTCTTCGTTGAAACGCAGACGTACGGTTACAGAGCTTACCACTTTCGAAGGGCGGAAACTGCGATCTTTAATTTGCTTCAATATGATGATAGTCGTTCGGGTAGCTTTCCACTGGTTTTTCAAACAACACGGCTGGTTGCTTGAACGCATTGCCTACAATGGATATTTAATTACTTTTTCAACAACGACGATTACTTCGATCGTGTACTGAGAAATCATTGCCAGTAATGCATTGTGATTTCTTTCGGGACTATTACTTGAAAGAATATTTTAAATAATTTTTCGAAGATCAAAATTCAGAACTAAGAACTTCTCAATCAGTTTTTTATTAGTTTCATGAACTATAGTCATGTCAGCGACATAATGTTACGATTACCCTCAGGATTACCATTTAAAATAATATTTTTAAACTTCACTTTAATACAATATCGATATAGAGAATCATGTTAATAATTCATCCAATATGCGAAGTGTTAAAATGCTTGCTTTCTATTTGTCCATAAATCATTGATTTAATCACGTGACCATAAAATCACGCCCAGTATCGAGACGTCTTAATTCTTGCATCGGATAATGTTTCGCTTTGAAGCACTATGAATATCAACGTTGTTTCTTGAGCGTGAAACTTTTCAGAAGAGGCATGAAGCTGCAGGTTTTTTTGTGAATTGCTTTACTGCTCTCGATATCTTTCCATTTACGTTATTAAAGGTAGCCATCGCTTTCTCTTTCATCTGTACGGTTGTTGTTAAAGGTAAATATAATTTTATTTACTTCAAAGTACCTTTTAACTTTGCAGGAAAAGGTTTATTTAAGAAATAAAAGAGAAGGGTAGCGAATGAAATTGGACGTTTAGAGAACCGAAAGATAGGAAGCGGGGAATTGAAAGAGAGTAGCGGCATTGGTTACGTGGTCCTACGAATTCGATTCACCGATGCAATCCGAGATCGTAACAACGATACATTGTGATCCGAATTTCTCATTAGTCTCCCTCGAGCATGGGCTAGAAACGTATTTGTACGTCTTACGGTATCCAGAATCTCTGATTCGAAGAACAGGTAGGAACGCTTCGCGGTCGATATATTTACTGATGTGAGTAGCACTTGTACTTCCGAGTTCTAAATTTTTAATGGAGCAGATTCGTAATTTATATTTTTCTCTAGATTCCAGCAATTTCTTTATTTCAGCTGTTCATGCGGATTCCTTTTTTTAATTACCAAGGATCTAAAGCAAATGTCCTAGAGATCAGACATCAATTTACATTTTGATTAATATTTAGCTTTGTATGAATAATTAAATTATTGATAAAATTGAATAATGTTTTCTACAGTGCAGTCCGCGAATAGCCTGTGTAATATATACCTTTTATAATAATTATAAAGCATAATTATTATGCTAAGATGTTCTGTTTACTTTGTAAGCATATATATAATTTGTATATTACATTTCAACGACAAGTAGGATATTTGTTAACTCGTTAACGGATATAATAATTGAGATGTATTTTCTTTTGAACGAAAGTATTCCATATAATTTAAATAATTAATATGGTTATTAATTATTTATTAGTGCACGAACACTCTCAATGCTCCAGTTTTTGAACACTTGCCTTCGGGTTTCAACCAATTTCATGAAATTTACGGCTTCGTAAGCCACGGAGAGATGTGTAAAAATCCAGAATTTAGTTATAAGCTTGTATTTTGTTGTGCAGGAGTTTCTTGTCTGTGGAAATAGTTTTATTGATACGTACCCAGAAAAGAAGTTTCAAGGACGATCTAATTGCGTGCTCGACTGAGCGGTCGTTACCGTTTACATTGTGCCTAAAATGTAATTGAATAATGAATCGGTCCCCATGATCATAGTGATTGACTCGACTATAATAATAGAATATAATTTAAGGATTATGTTACACTAATGACTGAAGGCAATTGAAGAATCGCATTGCTGTAACGACGAATAAAATTCAAGGATCGTGTTACCGTAATGATTGAACAGAATTCGAGGTTCGTATTACTTAATGATTGAATGGAACTCGAGAATGACAGAATACTGACTGAGAACTCCGAATGCAGCATGCAATAAATAGAGAATTATGCACATGACACTATCTGAATTAATGACTTTCTAAAATTAAAATTTTATTTACAATGTTGAGAACTTGGAGCATCAAATCAAATAAAACCCTACGTTAAAAAAACTTTATTCATGTTATTTTTACCATTATTTTTTGTTTACTATTATCTCTTTATCTATATTATTTCATTCAAATTTATTTCACTTCACAGTTTCAAAATAATATTGATTTACAGTAACAAAAACTTTGAGATACATTTGTAACGTGCTGTATATTATTAATATTAAAATTATTAGCACTCGTCGTGAAAATTCGTTCCTTGCATAATTCTGCATTACATTCTTTTAGTCTTTTAATTGTTTCAAAAATCTATGCATTTCTATTATAGACGCATAGAATCCATAATTTAGCAATGTTGTTGCGAATAGATTAAACATTTATAAAAAAAGGAACTGATACTTCGGTTAAACCCTTATAATCTTAACTTAACTTTACAAATATATGAAGGGCCACAACAAAAATTTCGAGACATCTTTTTCGTTCCTTGCAACTTGCATATATATATTAATAATAATTATAATAAATTAATATATTAATAATATATATTAAAAATAGTAACCTTTCGCCTGTTAACTGGTAAATTAACTTTTATTGAACTCGTTTCACAATGGGGTTTTTTATGACATATTTTGAAAATATGTACATCAAACATATAAAGAATGTTACACTGGTGTTTAAACCTACACTATGCAAATTTGAATTGTTACCATATGGTCTCGCTGGGTTTTAATAGGTACGAACGACGTAAAGCATAATGCGCTTCATATATTATTTTTAAAAATTTTCGTGACGAAAAAAGTCATCACGTCCTTTGGAGAAGAAATATTTTCTCACACTCGGTTCATAGATCAAAGGGTGCTTCTACCTTGGAAATTAAGATTACAAAGATGTAAGTCTAAGAAAAATAAATCAGAATATTCGGTTCACCAGAGCTACCCTATGAAATATAATTTAACAGGCAAAAAAACGATAGCGTGGTGCAAATACCTGACCGAGGACTATGGTCAAATGCGTAATCACGGGTTGCAAATGTTGCATTGCGGTCAGCTACCACCAACGACACTTGTAAGTTAGTATTACCGAGCCATACGGTCAGATCTAAGTGTTACCCGCATACCTGTGGCTTCGAAACTCAAGTCAAATTCCGTTGCTTCGAGCTTGCCTTCCGAGAGGCCAAGTATCGTTGGTACACAGTCTTTCTCCGAATAATATAGCCCTTTGTCACTGTATCTCACCTCGAGCGTTCTTTATCCTGCGGCGTCCAGCGGCATTTCGTCAAAGAAACGAGACTCTTGGATTAACTATGTACTACGATGACACGATTTCAACCCTTTGAAGTCGCAATGGTCTTTTTACAGCCGAGTAAAAACTTGTAAGCAAATAAATACGCTTCCAGGCAAACGAATCTTCAAACATGACACTTTACTTTCTGATAAAATGTTTGCAGCAACAAGAATTTTCAAATATACCAAATCATTTAAATAAAATAACGGATAATCTAATCACAGTATCTTCAGTCCGATTTTAAGAAAGGGCAAGCAAGATATTCTCTGAAACTGCTTCATTTGAAATTCGATCAAAATAAGTGTGATAAAATGTGCTGCTGGTCTAGAAAAAGATATTTTACACTACATGTAAATATTTTATCATAATTAAAACGAAATTGGACAAATTTAATTAAACCGAATTACAAATATCGCACGCAAAGGATATGACAAAGTCGGAGTATATTTATTGTGGTGCATGGCAATTCTAAAAAAACACAAATTATGAATCAAATAATTGCTAAAACGATACGCCCGATTCCACAGATAAATCGCGTGCAATCGCGCGTTTCAGCAAATTGTACGAATTCGTGGCTTAACTAGTACAACTGTCAAAAGTCACGTAGGCTAATTAATAGTTACTCGAGTGCAAATAAGTAATACGCCGGTACTGTCACCGCGACGCGACTTCGCTGCGCGAGACAAGCATTAGTATAGTTGAGGTTTCGCCACGGCTACGTTGTCTGTCGTACCTGCGCACAGATTTGCCTTAATCAAAGCTTGTTAATCAGCTTGATAACGACTTTCGGGGAACGTGCTTACGAATTCCGGTTGCTGCAACCTGTTCTCGGTCTCATTACCATTATCGCATTGTGCGTAGATGGGAGTTACAGCTACATACTAATTACACGTTCATGCTGATCTCTTTTTTCTATTTACAGACTCAATTGTGAAATGTAATAAGAGAATGGACGCGGTACTCGCGTCAAAAACAGACAGTGTTTAGTAATCCACAGAGGTTAAATACAGTGACCCACAAAAGTGTTCGTACGCTTTTTAAAGCGTAATAACTATTTTACAACTGAACTAAATGACTTGAATTTATTTTAGATGATAGAGGGTCTACTAGACGATGACTGAAAAGCTTTCTTTTTTAAATTTTGCCATTACTTGAAACGAAAAGAAAAAATTAAAAATCTTCGTTTTTTAACATTTTTATATATCTGCGCCTATAATGAAAATTTAAAAAATATCTTTCGTAGATTTCAGTAACTTTTATGCATGTTGGAAATTTTATCGAAATCAGTTCACATTGTTACGAGTTACAACAAAATAATGATCGCAAAAATCGCAGTTTTATCACGATGTTGACCAAAAACTGGAAGAAATCTGCAATTTTTTAAACCTTCAAGCCTGCAGCTCGACTCGCGGTTAACTGATTTCGATCAAATTTTCAGCACGCATATAAATTACTGTGATCTACAAAAGACATTTTAAAAATTTTCGTTATGGGCTTAGATAAAAAGGTTGAAAAATGAAGGTTTTTAATTTTTTCTTTTCATTTCAAGTAATATTTAAAAAAGCATTTTAGACATCGTGTAGTAGACTAGTCCTTCTGCCACCTAACAAAAATTCAAGTCATTTAGTTCAGTTTTGAAAAAGTTATTACGTTTTAAAAGGTGCACGAACACTTTTGTGGACAACTGTACGTCTCTGGATAAAACATGAC